GCTGTACGTAGAGGCTCAAATGGAGGTTCGGTAAGTGCCTTCAACACCTGCGGCAAGTTCCAGGTGGGATATCTGTGAATCACAGGTGGGCGGAGATTCCGAACTCCCCGTAAAAACCGTCTGATGGAAACATGGTGAGATAGCGACACCCCGTCACGAGACAGTACCGTGGCGAGAGCAGCAACATGACGCTTCAGAGTGTTGTGCGCCAGTCCCTTACAAAAACCATTGTGGAGGAACTCCAGCACCTGCGGAACAGAAGCTGACAGGGAATTAATCTCGCGCGCAGAGCACCAAGAGATAAATATCTTCCACATGATGTTGTAGAGTCTGATGGTGGACTCCCTTCTGTCTGCCTGCATGATTTCGATGACTTCAGCGGAGTAGTGGGCTTCACTCAGGAGGAGCCCCTCAACAGCCAGGGGGTCAGATTGAGCCACTGGGGGCTGATGGGTGGTTGATCCCCCCCTGGCTGAGAGACACCCTCTCCTGGGGCAACCGCCAAGGCTGTGCTGCGGATAGTGCCACAAGATCGGAAAACCAAGGCCTTCTTGGCCAATGGGGCACAATGAGGATGACCTTTGCTCCCTCCGCCATGATCTTGCGCAGTGCCCGTGGAATTAGAGGCAGAGGGGGAAACGCATAGAGCAACTCCCGCGGCCACGGGCAGCGAAGGGCGTCTGTGTTCTCCGCACCCAGAGATGGGTAACGGGTGAAGTATCGGGGAAGTTGCACGTTCGCAGAAGAGGCGAACAGGTCTATCTGAGGCTGCCCGAACCGAAGACAAATGTTGTGAAATAGGTCGGGGTGAAGGCACCATTCCAACGCGTCTATCATGGTCTGGCTGAGGAAATCTGCTCGGAGATTGTCCTTGCCCGCAATATGATCCGCTCGAAGAGAGATGAGATGTTTCTCCGCCCAGGAGCCGACAAGAAGAGCTTCCTTCATCAGCAATCTGGACTTTGTCCCTCCCTGGCGGTTTACATGGGCTTTCGCTGCCATGTTGTCGGTAAGTAGTAGAATGTGATGACCTTGTATGGAAGGTCGAAATGCCTGCAGTGCCAGGTGTATCACTCGGAGCTCCAGTAAGTTTATGTTGTACTGGGCCTCCTCGGGGGCCCAGCGGCCCTGGGCTACTTGAGAGCCGAAGTGTGCTCCCCACCCGAGCAGACTGGCGTCGGTCGTAATGGTGAGAGGTTGAATGTCCGAGAAAATGCAGCCTTTGTCCAGGGCCGGGGACAGCCACCAGTGCAATGACCGGCGGATGGACAGGGGAACCCTGATCTTGGACCGGGACGCTGCGGTCTTGTTCCTTTGATACGGAAGTAATAGCCATTGGAAGCTGCGTGCATGTAATTGAGCCCATGGAACTATATTTATACACGATGCCAACTTCCCCAGTAGGCGGGACAGTTCGAGTTTGGACACTGTGGGTGCTCTGAGAAGCTGACGTATGAGGAGCCGGAGGTTGTCCCTCCTCTCGAGAGAGAGGAAGACCTGTCCTGCTTGAGAATCTATGATGGCCCCTAAATGGGTTAAGCGTGTCTGGGGTGCTAACTGGCTCTTGGGCACATTGACCAGGAACCTGTGCGCCTGCAATACTTGTAAAGTTAGCTGTAAGTCGGTCTGGGCTCTCTGGAGGGATGACGCCTGTACCAAAATATCGTCCAGGTAAGCTTGAAGCCTCACTGGGACCGACCTTAGATATGCTACGAGAGCCACCAAAATCTTGGTGAAGCTGCGCGGGGCCGATGCCAGTCCAAAGGGAAGGGCACGGTATTGCAGATGGCGTCCCGCGTAGCTGAATCTGAGATACCGGCGATGAGCCGGGAGGATTGGGATATGCAGGTATGCCTCTGACAGGTCTATGGAGGCAAGAAAGTCTCCTGGCCGGACTCCTTCCAGAATGGTTTTCAAGGTGCTCATTTTGAATCTTCGATATACAAGATGGGTGTTTAGAGATTTTAGATTTAGAATCGCTCTCCAGCCCCCCGAGCGTTTTGGAACCACAAATAGGATCGAGTAAAATTCCTGTCTCCAATGTTCTGGAGGAACCTCCTCCACAGCTCTGATCTCTAAAAGATGTTGAATTGCAAGTTCCATTAGACGACGCTTGCGAAGACAAGTGGAGACAGGGCATGGCACAAAGTGGCTTGGGGGGCTGGAGCGAAACTCCAGGGGGAGACCAAATTCTATAGTATGTAGCACCCATTGATCGGTGGTACTGCGGGCCCACCGGTCCAGAAAGAGACTCAGCCGGCCTCCAATGGGGGCCATGAGGGGACCGTCATTTTTGTCGGCAGAACTGGAGATTGCCCGTTCCACGTGAAGATCGTTTTGGGGGCCCAAAAGATTTAGGTCTGTCTCGAAATGACCCTCTATCTTGGGGACGAAAGGAGCCCTGAGCATATGGACGCTGATTAGAAGTGTCCTGAGAATAATATCTAGCCTGAGGCCTGCACTAATATGGGGTGGCCCTGCGGTCAGCTCGTCTTGTGATTGACAGCAGTATCTTTTTCTTGTCCCTATCCTCGACTAAAAGGGGCTCAAGAGACTCTCCAAACAATTTAGACCCCGAGTACGGGGTGGATGCCAAGCGCCATTTTGCTTTGAGATCAGCTGGCCATTGTCTCAGCCACAACAAACGCCGTGAGGTGATGGAGGAAGTCATAGCCCGAGAGGCGTACTTGGCCGCATTAAGTGTGGCGTCAGAGGCAAATTGGGTGGCTGCTATTATTTTGTTCAGATCTTGGTGAACCCTAACGTCCTGGGCTGGCAGTCGAGACTGGAGCTGCTGAAGCCACAATAGGGAGGACCTAGAGAAAAAGGAGGCCGCAGTAGCGGCCTGTATTGCCCAAGCCGAAGCTTGGTGGGTCTTCTTGAAGGCTGAATCAAATTTACGATCCTCAGGTTTAAGTCCCTCAGAGGTATCCCCAGAAATGTAAGGCGATGGGGAAGCGAGAGATGCCACCGGACCATCTACTGTGGGAACCTGCAAGAGGTTTGCCAGGGAAGGGTCCATATTATAGTTGCGGCGGTCAGCCCCATTAGGAGTGCGAAGGGAAGCCAGATTGGCCCATTGTTTTTGCACCACGTCCATGAACAGTTTAGGGGCTGGTACAAAAAGTTGTTCAGTAATGGGTTCAGAAAATATGCCTTGACCGATTGTAGAAGTCGTAGTTGGAATAGAATTAGAGTCCAAAAGGCCTGAAGTTACTTTGGCCTTGTGGAGTAAGGATTTGAAAAGTCCCTGAGGGAACAGGCCGTGAAGGCTGGGACATCAGGCAAATCTGTTTCGTCGTCAGAAAGGTCAGCTTCCCTTTGAGGTTCTTCCTCCAAGTCTAGATCAGAACCTCCTCTTGATCTTATGGGCGACCGCTCTGGGAAACCAGTTAAGCTGGCAGAAGGAGATACTCTAGAATGCCTTGAGTGTAGACTTTCAGATACTAATGAGGCAGAGCGATGCTCTCTAATGCCCTCAGCAATACCATGGGAAATAGCCTTAGAGATTAAGTCTTGAATAGACTCAGGCAAGTCCTTGAGCACAGAAGAGGTTGTACAAGGAGGTTTCTGAGCCTGGACAGGTTCCTGAGATTCAATAGAACAGTCAAAGGGGTCCCCTTTTTGCTTTTCAGGTGATGACTCAGGGGATACAGACTGTGGTCTCTCCGGAGATAACGCTCTAGCTAAATCTGGGTTATCATCCGATCCCTGTTCTAAAGTTGCAGGACAATCGGTGATAGGGGCCTTGGTTTGATGTGATCTCGTCTTTTCAGTGTGCTCATGCAAACGAGCTTTGTGGTGGGCTTTCTTACCCGAAGTTGATTTGGAAGTGGCCTTGCGGGCCGTCTCAGCCTTTTCAGAAGGTAGGTCAGCCATGATGAGTACAGACTGTAGAATTGAGAGCAGCCTGTAAATGACAAATATATATATATATGAGGGGTAACTTCGGTAATCTGCGCAGAGTCCAAGAATCTTGCCTCAAATGAAACAGCAGCAACTGAAAATACATAAAATTTTTGAATTTCAAAATGGCCTCCGAGAAATAATAATGATGAAACAAAATGGCCACCGAGAAATAATAATAATGATGAAACAAAACGGCCGCCGTAACTGACAGTTACAACACGAGGCAATGGCGGAGGCCAAATCCTAGAGGCCAAACAATTCTCTGAGTTACATTCGCTGAACACACTTCCTCCCCCAGGGAAAGTGGCTGTACAGATGCTAAGGGAGAATTCCTGGCCTGGCAATAATTCTTGTCGCTGGGAGGTGGGAAAGCCTGAACAGGCACTCAGTGGCTCAGCAGCAAATCGGCTAGCGAGAGATCGCTAGCCGAGCGCAAACAGCGTCTTCAAACTCACCACCTCAGAACTCCGGGTGGTGGTAAAGGCGTCGGCGTCGGCGTCTGGAACTCGGCGATGCCGTTTCCAGCCAAAGCTGAAGTAGCCCGCCCGCACAGCTCTTCAATAATTAGGGAGCAAAGAGGAGGTCTCCTGCCCTGAGCTCCCGAAGCGATCGCTCACCCAGCAAGGAAAGCCGCTCAGTCCTCTTCTCCGCCTCTCAGCTGACGATCGCAGTAGCGCAGCAGCAACAGCAGCGGCGGTGCGGCGGCGTTCCCAGGCAGACTGGGCTGGCCAGCACACTCGTAAAATTTTAAAGCTGAAGAGATTTTTTCCACCTAAATAGTCAGGAGTGGGATTCAGAGTATTTATGTCTGGTCAGAACTACTGAGTCGAATAAACTGGAAGCAATGGAGGCTTGAGGAGGCGTGGCCAAAGCAATTCGACTCAGTAATTGGTCAGACTGACTGTATCATCCCACTCCTGACCCACTCCGCAGCCTACGGGAGAAAAACAGTGTTTTTATGTTTTTAAATTATACATTATAAGTGATAAACAGAGACCTGCATTGAGCGTTTGGACTACTCAATTTCCAAAGTCCATTCTAAATCAATTTCTATGATTCTATTGTAATTATCAAATCAAAAAGATACTCACATTGTTCTTCAGAAAAGTTTGTTTTGTTTCAGCAGCTTTTCTTCGTCTGACCCTTTTTTTAGAAGACTTGGATCGCTGATTAGAGTAAGGAGCAGTAATAGAAGCATCTTGAAATTGCTTGGAATTGCTGATGACCAAATTCTTTGGTTTTGCAGTAGGTGGAGATTTTACTTTCTCACTTACAAGTTCTTTCTTTTCACTCATCATTATCTTTTGAGAGTAGAAACAGTTGTTTGAATCACCATAAAGAAATTTCTCTTCATCTTCTATATTATCAGGAAGGGGATCCAGACTTTTTTCTGGAGCATAAGTAGAATCAGTCGTTGTACCTAGAATGCACGAAAAACCACTTCCATCCTGACTGGCTTTTTCATAAGGCAGCAGGAAGTCACTACGTTGGTTGACAGATTTTGATGTTGATTCAGGAGGCTTCTTCCCCTCTGAAAAATTCCTGGAGTCCTATTCAAAAGGAAAAGCATTTGTTCCTTGTCATGTCTTTTGCACTGAGATGCCTTACTACAAACAAGTTATTGTTGAACGGAAGAAATTCTGAAGAAGAAAAACTGATGAAAAGAAGTGATTGGGTTAAACTGTTACAACTAAAAAAAATCTGAAAGAAAGGAGTTCATTTATAGATAAAGAATTGTTAAAAAAGAATTCAGGCTTTAAAAAAGATATTGTGATGTTAATTTATAAGATTAATCAATATTTCAATTCATAAAACAGGTCATTCTTTCATATATACAAATTACAGCTAATAACTTGGAAAACTGTAAGAGAAAAATGAAACTGAGGCAGAGACATGAGTTCTAAAATATTATTTAATTTGATATATTGTGGGTATGTCATTAGGACTGAGACAGGGTGCAAAGGTGCTACAAAAAAGTTATCAGAGGAAGACAAATAACATGCTTCCCTTCCTCAGCAGGGCACACGATCTCACTATATTGCACTAATCAGCAATAAAATTGCCAATACATCATCACTATAGCTATCTTCTATAAACTGCACATACCATGTCACCACCCAGCTTTGTTCAGAGTTAACCATTCAGTGAAATAGCTTTATTCTCCCTCCATGATCTGCTTATAAAGTCCAGCTTTAAGTTGCTATGCAGCATCAACATAATCATGCCATGATCTGTGATTACTTTGAATCACTGAGCAAGGAGAAGGAAGGAGTGGGAGTGAAGCACCCCTGTACTTGCCTCTCATCTCGTCTCGTGGGCACTTCTTCCGGTGCTTCTTGGTGCTGCACACACACCTCGGTCACTCAGGGAGACACGCAACTTGATCTCCGCTAAGAGACACTGGCTGGCCCAGCTGCGCCTGATGCACCATGTTGTAATGGGCTCCAGGAGGATGGGACGCCGTCCCCCCCCATTGTGAAGTATGCTAAATTTAAGTGTGCTGAGCAAGATGCTGCAAGACCAGCGAGAAGGCCATGGAGGTGACGAGAGAAGCGACGTCAGCAGGCACCTGTGGCTGATGATGATGCTCTCGCTGCCTCCATGGCCTGTTTGCTGCTCCTGCAGCACCTTGCGCAGCACACTTAAATTTAGCAAGCTTCACAATGGGGCAGACCGTGTCCCCTCCTCCTCCTGAAGCCCATTACGACACAGCGCATCGAGTGCAGCCAGGCCAGTGTCTCTTAGCGAAGATCAAGTCGTGTGTTTCCCTGAGCAATCGAGATATGCACGCAGCACCAAGAAGAAGCGCCGGAAGAAGTGCCCGCGAGTTGAGAGGAAAGTACAGGGGCACTTCCCTCTCGCTCTGGAATATGGAGCGAGTCTCCATCCCTTCTCAGGCCACGTGAGGAGTGATTGGGAGGGGTGGGCAAGGGTCAGGGCCAGCCAGCCGACAGGGAGCCACATTAGGGGGATAAAAGAGCTTCATTTATCTGGGAACCTGAAATGACTCTTGATTTAAATCATATGGTAAAAAGCACCAAAAGAAGAACGTCAGCAAAAAAACCAAAAAAACCCCAAGCCTCGACTGTTTTTGGTTCAAGAGGGAACACACACACACACACACACACACACACACACACACGAGAGACAGGGAATAGAGAGAGGAAGGGAAAGAAAGGGAGGAAGACAAGGAGGGAAAGAGAGAGAAGGAAAGAGAGAAACAAATGTGTGAAAAGAGGGAGAGAGAGAGGGGGACACAGAAATGAGAGAGCTTGACGGAGAGAATGAGGGAAAAAAGGGAAACGAGAAGGGGAGAGAAAAAAGGAAAGAAAGAAAGGGGGGAGAGAAAAACAAGAGAGGGAAAGGGAGAGAGAGATCCATTTCCCACAGAAAACACCTGGAGCACAAAACCCAGGTAGGTGTAGCTGGGGGAGGGGTTCATGTAACTGGGGGTTTCATGGGAGTGATGTTGAGTTGGCCACGCCACTCAGGTTTTGTGGCTCCTAGTGTTTTCTTTTCTGTAGGAAACGGATCCAAATGGCTTTTTGAGTGTTTAAGGTTGCAGACCCCTGGCCTATCCCAGGTAATCAGGGTCAACTTCCTTTGAGTTCCATTGAGGAAGCAGCATCATTTAGCAGAATCCAGAAAGCAGGATTTCTCTGTTGCAGCACCTGCATTCTAAAACAGCATTTGCTTGGAGATTCATTCAGCAGCCTGTCGAGTGTCAAATAACCCTCGACACCACACACATCTTAACAGCATGGAAGACCATGGGGGGGGGGGGAATACCATCGGAGGATCCAGAACATCTGAACAAACTTCAGCAACGGATCACGGTGAAGAGGGTGTTGCGTTAGGACAACATACACACTGATAGTGGGTGATGGATGGGACACAAGAAAAACGGGGGGTGGACATATGTCTGAGGGATTGAGAGTGAAAAGGAGACTGACGTCAGCCACTTCTCTCTCTTGAAAAAGAGCCCTAAAATTCAGTTCTTTTCCCAGATCTTTGGTTAGGGCAGAGTTCCTAAGGTAGATTAGATTTATTTATTTATTTGTTTGTTTGTTTGTTTGTTTATTGTTTAAATTTGTATACCGCCCTTCTCCCGAAGGACTCAGGGCGGTGAACAGCCAAAATTAAAATACATACAATATAAAATTTAAAATAATTTAAAACAGAATTAAATCGAATTGGCTTCTGAGTTAGCAGCCTGGAGTGGAGGCACAAGTGCCTGCGCGAGTGGGGTCACGAGTGTCCACAATCCTAATGTGAGTGGGGCAGTGAGTGCCTGCACAAGTGGGGCTGCGAGCACCCGTGACACTCGCAACGGACACACAAATGGGGGCTGTGCGTGCACTCCGTCCAGCTACTGACACGACCTAGTGGCCAATAGGCCATAGCCCACTGGTTGGGGACTCCTAGGTTAGAGTATTTAGTTGACCCCATTTTTGGGGTGATGGAAAGTAGATTTTTCTAACCTGTTTCCCCAGGACTACTATGTTCTTTTTGTAGATCTTGTTATGTTTTTCTTGCTTTTTAACATTGTGAAGCTGACCAGTCACTTTGGAGTTAGGCAGTTTAGAAATTGCATATATGAAATTAAAATAAACTATGTAGATACAGACATATTTATGTATCTATCCCTCTACCTTAGAATTTTGCAGAGGACTGCTTATATATTTTAAGTTCTACAATATATTCTACATTTCTATGCTGAAAAGAAGGAAAAGTTAAAGCTTGTTAACCAGAAAGAAATAAACAGTGTTTTTATGTTTTTAAATTATACATTATAAGTGATAAACAGAGACCTGCATTGAGCGTTTGGACTACTCAATTTCCAAAGTCCATTCTAAATCGATTTCTATGATTCTATTGTAATTATCAAATCAAAAAGATACTCACATTGTTCTTCAGAAAAGTTTGTTTTGTTTCAGCAGCTTTTCTTCGTCTGACCCTTTTTTTAGAAGACTTGGATCGCTGATTGGAATAAGGAGCAGTAGTAGAAGCATCTTGAAATTGCTTGGAATTGCTGATGGTAATTGTATTAATGATTCTGAGGTTGCGATTTATACATTTGTTTTTTAGGTTGGCATGGTTGGTAACCTCAGGTTTATTTGGATATACAGAGTTCATTTGCTGAGCACACCAGTCAGAAGTTGCATAACCCATGTGGTGCTGGTATACATCATAGTCAGGTAAGGCTACTGGGAGAGAAGCAGAGTTTGGGAAGAACTGTGTTGGAGTAAATGTAGAGACATATGGAACATATTGACAGGAACCAGAGATGGGGCCAGGAGGAATATCAAGAAAAGAAGGTGGAGCTGATGGGATTAAAAATCCTGGAACACCAGATTGTTCGCACATGTCAGTAGCTTTATTTTGCCCTGAAATAGCAATGTTATTGTAGTCAGATTTTAAAACAGAGAGACACAGCTTCAGGTGATGGAAAAGAATCAAATGGCGATAGAGAATGTTTCTGCCTCTCCCACAACTTTGCTTTATGATTTGCCACTGAATGATTATTAGGAGAATAAGCTGTTTTTTTTCCCATGGAGTCTTTCTTCTGTGCGAGCAGCAAGCTTATCTATTTCAGCCATTCCAATGTCCAAACCAATAGTTTTAAGCAAGTCACGGATCTTGTCATATTCCACATTGGACTGTTCCAAATTCTCTGGTTTTACAGATTGTTCCAAATTCTCTGGTTTTACAGATTGTTCCAAATTCTCTGGTTTTACAGATTGTTCCAAATTCTCTCGTTTTACAGACTGTTCCAAATTCTCTCGCTTTACAGACTGTTTCAAATTCTCTCGTTTTACAGACTGTTTCAAATTCTCTCGCTTTACAGACTGTTCCAAATTCTTTGGTTTTGCAGTAGGTGGAGATTTTACTTTCTCACTTACAGGTTCTTTCTTTTCACTCATCATTATCTTTTGAGAGTAGAAACAATTGTTTGAATCACCATCATCATCACCATAAAGAAATTTCTCTTCATCTTCTATATTATCAGGAAAGGGATCCAGACTTTTTTCTGGAGCATAAGTAGAAGTAGGCTTCTTCCCCTCTGAAAAATTCCTGGAGTCCTATTCAAAAGGAAAAGCATTTGTTCCTTGTCATGTCTTTTGCACTGAGATGCCTTACTACAAACAAGTTATTGTTGAACGGAAGAAATTCTGAAGAAGAAAAACTGATGAAAAGAAGTGATTGGGTTAAACTGTTACAACTAAAAAAAATCTGAAAGAAAGGAGTTCATTTATAGATAAAGAATTGTTAAAAAAGAATTCAGGCTTTAAAAAAGATATTGTGATGTTAATTTATAAGATTAATCAATATTTCAATTCATAAAACAGGTCATTCCTTTCATATATACAAATTACAGCTAATAACTTGGAAAACTGTAAGAGAAGAAAAATGAAACTGAGGCAGAGACATGAGTTCTAAAATATCATTTAATTTGATATATTGTGGGTATTTCATTAGGGCTGAGGCAGGGTGCAAAGGTGCTACAAAAAAGTTATCAGAGGAAGACAAATAACATGCTTCCCTTCCTCAGCAGGGCACACGATCTCACTATATTGCACTAATCAGCAATAAAATTGCCAATACATCATCACTATAGCTATCTTCTATAAACTGCACATACCATGTCACCACCCAGCTTTGTTCAGAGTTAACCATTCAGTGAAATAGCTTTATTCTCCCTCCATGATCTGCTCATAAAGTCCAGTTTTAAATTGCTATGCAGCATCAACATAATCATGCCATGATCTGTGATTACTTTGAATCATTGAGCAAGGAGAAGGAAAACAGCATGTCAAAGGAGCAGCAGAGAAAGCACAAAATGGGTCTGAACAATAACAGAATTCGAAAGATGCCTTTTTGAAGGAGCATCTCACAAAACCAAAAAAGTAGCCAAATGCTCCTAAGTCAACAGGCAACATTTATTTATGATTGCTGCATGATGCAAATTCACAAAAGCATGGTGCTTCTTCTTTCAGAAATGAACAGTTATTTATCTCTGTTTTGAAACTAAGTTAGGAAAATAAGGTGACTTGATAATTCAGTTTCAAATAGTTTTTAAAAATTAATATTTGTAGAGATTTCTTCAGTTTCAAACACTGAAAAATTCTGCACTTGGTTTTCTAGAATCGATTTAGAAAACTTCCAACCTACATGTCTAATGCTAAAAGTTTTCATCTAAACCATGAAAATCTTCAGCAAGCATCCTCCCATTCCCCAATAATCCCACCTTTCAGAACAAACTCCTCCCTGTATGACAAGCCATGTCAGGCTCCTTGCAGAGCAAAATAAGGAGCAATTGCTCCTTATTTCATCTTGCATGAGAAAAAGTATTACTGATGAGCTTCAAGGTTGAAAAAGAAAAATCCCCATAAGTGACCTAAAATCACTTTATCAAATGCAGCTTCTTTATGTTAATCTCATACAGATTTCAAAATGCTAAAATAAACACATCTTAAGAATCTTTCTTAAGAAAAAGAAAGTTACTTGTTTTAAATTTAAAACAAATGAAATGCAAACTTTCTGATCCAAATGAGAATCAAGATGCTGTCAATACTAAATCAACTCCATGACAGGGAAAAAAGTGTGATATTGTTCGAAGCATTTATTCCAAAGATGTACATATAGACAATTAAATACTTATATTTCAATTAGAAAAAAAAAGATAGTAAAACGGACAGATTAACAAAGAGAGTGAAGAATTCAGTTCAAACCTGTATAGAAGAATCATCTGAACGTTTCTTCAGTATAGATTTTAAGGGCACTGCTGGTGTTTTTTCAGATCTATAATGGTGTTGAGATTCAGAAGACTGTCCTTGATTAGCTGAATCAGGCATTGGGTAGTCAGTACTAATGTTTCTGCTTCGCAAATCCTCTTCTCTTTTTCTCCTAATTCTTTCAAGTTTACGAAAATCTTCATCCATGTACATCAGGCTTGGGCTTTTATTAAGGCTTTGTTTACAATACTTCTCTGTTTCTGCCAATAAAGCCCGAGATTTTATGCTTTCATCAAAGAGTCTATCTTCTCTGTCATATTGAAAGTATTTTGATTCTTGCTCCCCACCCCTCTTATTTTCTCTTGATTGATGCTGTAGAAATTCACTGTTTATGCTTCGGTCCAGTTGAGCTATGAAAATATCCCTATTGTAAGAGTCCTCATCATGTCTCATGCTGAATGGTCTTGAAGGATTCTCCTCACGAAAAATACCTCTCTCAAGGTTCCAAGGATGTGAAAGGGCTCTGCTAAATATTGGACCATCAGCCAAGTCATCCCTGATGAGAGAGGCACATCAATTACAACATCAACATCATATAAACCTCTGGAACTCAGGTTAGCATAGTTGCCTGACTTTGAATAGCCAATACCTTTTTATATTGAACCCAATATGGCTAGTTTTGCAGGTTCTGCATCTTTCAGCAACAGCTTCACCTTCCATCTCAGACTATATCACTCTTCTAACATTTTTGAAATTTATTTATGAGCATAGGGGACATGAAACAAAAACAGGCAAGAGTGCACTGTTATAGAAATGGAAATGTGCTCCAGCTTCAGATGTGAACAAAATATATATAATTGATCTTGTATTAAATTGCTTTCAAATGACAAAGTTGGTCTTAACAATGCATATAAACTATACAGTTTTTATTTTTTAAATAATGTTTGTGTTAATTTTTTAATGAGAGTTTTTGTGTATTTATTGTTTTAATTTATTATTGTAAGCTGCCCAGGGTATTTTTTTTTTTGTGAGATAGCAGCTATAAAGTTTCATTGATAAATAAATAAAAAGTTTTGTGTGAAGTGTACACACAACCTCAACAATATGTCTATAGCAAATTTGGACAATAAAACATTTTTGTCCATTTTTAAAGTAGAAGCAATATTCTAACATTTTAATTGATTAACAGCAAAACAGTATTTATCCTATGAAGCTTTAAAATGTTTCTTTCTATTCTATTTTCCTATATTAAATCAATTTGAAACATGTGCAACTTGCTACTAAAAATAACTATCACAAACATTTTTCTAATAAGGCCTAACCCTAACCCTAACCCTGGCCATTCTTGCTCTATGTACCTGGTTTTTTAAACTAATGTTTGTGGTACTTCAAAATACCGTATTTTTCAGAGTATAAGACGCACCTTAGTTTTTGGGGAGGAAAATAAGAAAAAAGCCAATCAGCTGTTCCCAGAAATGAATTTTAACAACAGGTTCCTTGGTTGTGAGCTCTGTGCCTTGCTTTTTTTATTTTTTTCCTACCTCTGAAAGCCTCTGAAACAGAGCTTCAGAAAAAAAGCCTCTGAAGCTCTGCTTGGGGGCTTCTTTTCTGAAGCTCTGTTTGAGGGCTTCTTTTCTGAAGCTTGTTTCTGATGTTTTTTTCAGCCTCTGAAACCTCAGTTTGAGAAGCTGGGCAGAGCTACATTCGGAGTATAAGACACACCCAGATTTTCACCCTCTTTTTGGGGGGGAAAGGTGTGTCTTATACTCCGAAAAATACGGTAGCTAACTTTTGACAGCAGTAGGTAATATATCCACATAAGAACTGTTAAGTTATCATTTCAAAGTACATCTTTCAAAATACAATGAACTTCTGTTTAAAGTATACAATTCACAATGACAAATTATACGGATTATGGTGCAATAAGCACAGAATACAGGTAGTCCTCAATTTACAACAGTTCATTTAGTGACCATTCAAAGTTACAAAGGCACTGAAAAATATGACTTAGGACCGTTTTTCACACTTATGACCATTGCAGCATGCCTGTATCACGTGATCAAAATTCAGTTGCTTGGCAACTGGTTCATATTTATGACGGTTGCAGCGTCCCAGGGTCATGTAATTTTTTGCCACCTTCTGACAAGCAAAGTCAAAGGGGAAGTGTTCTGCCCCAGCTCCGGATTCCCAAGGATTGTGACACACACCAACAGTCCTTATCAAAGTTATAACGTACCAAGAATAAACAAAGCCCGGCAAAAGTTGGCAACCAGCCCAGAAAACAAGATACGATAAGACACTCACTCTCCAAAATGCTCTGTAATAATTACACGTTGTTTCCAGCAAGAAATTACTAACTGCGTGCGACTTAAATAGGCTAAGGGAGTGGCCGATTATCCTCAAACCTTACTCTCAAGGAGACCTCCTCCTCCTGAGTAGCCACTCCTGCCTTTTGGCAGCCCTGCGTGCTCGAGCATTGAGGAGAGGCTCCTCCACTTCGCTCTCTCCACTTGAAGAAGCCGCTGGAGGTTCTGAAGGCCCTGGCTGAGTCTCTGCCTCTGGCACCACATCCTCTTCAGCCTCCTCGCTGTCCGATGCGAGCGCCGGCTGCGCCTGCTGCTGGCACAACCCCATACCAGCCTCCTCATTGTCGGGATCAGCCACGATCTGCGCAGGCCGCTGGCGGGCCACAACAGGAAGCCAGATTCACTTAACAACCATATTACTAACTTATCAACTGTAGTGATTCATTTAACAACTGTGGCAAGAATGGTCGTAAAATGGCCCAATACTCATTTAACAAATGTCTCACTTAACAACAGAAATTTTGGGCTCAATTGTAGTCATAAGTCCAGGACTATCTGTATGCGTCACAGAAACTTCTCACATCTCAGATAGGAGAATCTCAATGGCAACACATATGCATAGTCTTGAACAGTAAAGCAATTGCATTAGGATACAGGTAGTCCACAAGTTATGACCACTCTTTTAGCATCCATTCAAGATTATAACAGCACTGAACATGGGCAATTTATGACCTGTCCACAAAGTTGTGGTAATCGCAACATCACATTATTCTAATTCGGGTCCTTGGGTGCCCAGTTCATAATTAAGATATCGCAGAGAGCTGCACCCATGTGATCATCATTAGTGACCTTCCCAGCTGGAACCAAAGTCAATGGGGAAGCTGGCAGGGATGGTTACAAGTTGCTCATATAAGTTGTTCCCGCTGCTTTTTCTCCCAAGGAGCCCCATGTGGGAGCTTCCAGGATCTTGTACTTTGCAGCAACTCCACACAGACATCTTGTTTGCCAAATGCAGCCATTCCAGTATTGGGAGGTCTTGTCAACATTCACTAATCCTGTAATTTTCTGGTTGGATTACTGCAGCACATTCTAGATGGGGCTGCCCTTGTAGCTAACTGGAAATTACAGCTGGTTCAGAATGTGACAGCATGCACAGTTCTAACTGCCCTACAGTTTTCCCATATTGCACTGCTGATGGAATGTAATCGGCTATAAGAGTCATCTTGAGGAATAGGAGGCAGAGCTGCAACCAAGACATTAATCAGAAAAAAGAAATTTTAATCTGAAATGTAATTTGAGAAGAATCTCAGGCTTGGTCTTCAGTAGTTCTCTCAAAGATAAAGGGAGGGAAAAGGGAAGTGCATTCAGACAACTTCTGTTACCATAACCTTTTAATTAAGGCATTAGCATTAGCATACATAATATTGGTTCCTACTCTGGTCTTACAGAGTTCCTAACCAGGCTGCTTACAGGACCGCTTCTCTCTGAGGATTTGGCCATTCCACTAGATCAGATGCAATGGGAGCACTCTATATTGTTTCTTTTAAACGTTGTCATCTAGCAGGACCAAGGAAGTGCAACTTCTCTATAGTCGGCCCTGCCCAATGTAACACCCTTTTCCCAGAGATCCAACAGGCCCTCAAACATTTGTTTTTACTTTTAAGAAATGTAGATAAAATACATTTGCTTTTATTACCCATGTTTCCCTGAAAATAAACATTCAGGCTTTTTTTCTTTTGGGGCCAAAAATAAGTATTCTGGCTTATTTTCAGGGAGGTGTTTTGTTTTTTTTTTAATCACAAAGCCCGGCATGGCCAGGCGCCCCACACACAAACACACACAAGAGGCAGCAACCGCAATGAGTCTGACTGCAGCAAAGGTAGAGGGAGGCAGACGGCCAAAGGGCATCGGCCTGAGTGCCTCAGATCAGCTGCAGGCCGCCATGGAGAGCATGGCTGATGCTGCCACCATAAGATGGAGTGAGCGAGAGAATGATCTGATCAAACCTGTGTGTGTGAGAGAGAGAGGGAGGGAGGAGGAGGGGGAGAGAACGAATACATCACCACCGGTATAAGTCTCGAGGTTGGATTGGATCTTTCTCTCTCTCTCTCTCTCTCTCTCTCTCTCTCTCTCTCTCTCTCTCTCTCTCTCTCTCTCTCTCTCTCTTCTCATACATACACACACACAAACACACACAGAGAGGTTGGATCAGATCTCTCTCTTGCTCTCTCGCGCTCTCTCTCTCTCTCTGTGGTGGAAGTACTTCAGTGCCTGGCCGGTGGGGAACTTTCCACTCGGCTGATTTCCTCTTTCTTCTCCCTGCTCCTCTTCCTCCTTCAGACAAAAGCTGCACTTTTCGTCTATCCATTGCAGGGCAGTGCCCAGGATTTACGTTGACAGCAGCAGGGTTTGGGGAAGGGTCAATCCCTGCTTGTGGCACAGCAGAGAAGGCGGAAGGCAATCCCCCCACCAGACCAACCTGGCGAGGGGGGTGGGAAACCAAGTGGTACCAAAAGCAGCTGAAGGGCTTAAACACCACACTTTCAGCTGCTTTCAGCGCCACTTGGTTTCCAAATTTGCGTGAATTTTTTTTTTTGTAAGAAGTTGGAAGGTCTGAACTTTTTTTTTACTGTAGTCCCACAGACTACTTTTCTTGCCCTGCACATGGCAGCAGAAAAGGGAGCTAGAAAGCAGGTTAGTGAAGGGATGTGGCTGCCTGGGGGGAGAGGGGGGGGAGTTTGAGGTGGTGTGGCGAGGATTTGGCATGGATAGCCTGGCTGAAGGGTCCTCAAGTAAACTGGTGCGGGGCACGTAGGCCAGCTCCGCACCTCCTGCCTTGCTTTGTCCTCCACCCCTCTACCTCACTTCGTTCTTCTTTGTTCTTCGCCACTTCTCCTTGCTTGCCACTATAATGGAGGAGGCTGAGCAATGCACCGGTGTGACGGCAACAAAGGGAGGTGGCGGTGGTGGGGTGGAGAATGAAGCAAGGCTGGGGGTGCAGAGCTGCCCTCCACGCCCTGCATTGGCTTCCCCACAACCAGGTGTAAATGATTTGGGGTGTGGCACGAAAGCAACACAGCCAGAGAACAGGTCTAACTCCCCTTTATTGCTCTAACTTTGCCCCCAAACATCCCCACGTTTACAACAAGTTTTGGAGCAAAGCTCTCACACGTACCTTCAGCAGCATCTGGCTGTGAGTAGTCCAGTAAGCAAAGTTAGCCAAACAGTAACCAGAGCAAGAAGTTCAGCAAAGCAGGCAAACCAGGAAAGCCCCACAAGACAGAGTACAGTAATCTCCAGGCGTCGGCAAGTGCACACGAGGCTCCACAGATTCAACATTTGTTCCCGACAAATTTTATTTATTTTTATTTATTTATTTTATTTCTATACCGCCCTTCTCCTGCGGGACTCAGGGCGGTGTACAGCCGAGATAAAACATAGCATATAAAATTTAAAAAACAGTTTAAAAAATAATTAAATAATTTGGCCCAAAATTTTAAACAACCCAATTAAAACCGAATTCAATTAAAACTGAGAGGATGGGATCAAGCCAGCCCAGCTAGATGGAATAAGTGTGTTTTCAGGGCCCGACGAAAAGTCCGGAGGTCTGATATCGTGCATATCTCAGGGGGCAGGTCATTCCAGAGGGCAGGTGCTGCTACAGAGAAGGTTCTTCCCCTGGGGGTCGCCAGCCGGCACTGTCTGGCCGACGACACCCTGAAGAGGCCCTCTCTGTGCGAGCAAACCGGTCGGTGGGAGGCTATTGGCGGCAGAAGGTGGTCTCGCAAATACCCCGGCCCTAAGCCATGGAGCGCTTTAAAGGTGGTCACCAACACCTTGAAGCGTACCCGGAAGACCACAGGAAGCCAGTGCAGCTCGCGCAGGAGAGGTGTCATATGTGAGCACACCGTTGCTCCCATAATCCCCGGCGCAGCCGCATTCTGGACTAACTGCAGCCTCCGGGTGCACCCCAAGGGGAGCCTCATGTAGACAGCATTGCAGTAGTCCAGGCGGAAATGCCCCCCACTGGCATTTCTTTACATCTCAGTCCCCAGGTGTGCCTTGTGAAGTGGGGCGAGGTACTCTCCTCCCTCATAGCCAGCTCAGTCTGCATTGGTCTCGCCTTCTCTTTTCTTTCTGTGCTGCAGGATCAAGAGGGGGTAGTCCTTGCTCTTCATCTGAGCCCAGTCTCTCTTGCTCCTCCCTTCTGCAAGCCTTTCTAATTCACAAAAGCCTTGCCCGGACTGACTCTGCTCTTCCCCAGTTTCCTCCAAGGCCAACGGAGCTGCCTTCTCAAGGTTCTTGTTCCAACTCATCTTCCCCCGCAGATTCAGACTCCGACGGAGGGCATGACACAGACCATCAACATCTTGAAAACTGCCTCATCTTGCAGCGACTCCAGTAGTCCCATTCAGGACTCCACGTGCATCACTCAAACTTCTGCTGAATTACAGCAGCGAGCAAGGAGAAGTGGGCCGGTGGCCACGCAGTGTTTTAGACAGGGTTTTTGGAGCCGCTGTCGGAAGGCCAGGCACTTGTCAGGATGTTGATGGTCTGGCTGCGGGGCCCTCGGGTAAGCCGATATGAGGTGCATAGGCCAGCTCTGCCCCACCTCCATTTCGTCCTCCACCCCCTCCACTACCCTAGATTGATTTTTATGGCTGCACCTCACCCCATCTCATACAACCAGATGGTGGGTGAGGCTTTACTAGGCCTTATTTTTTGGGTAAGGTTTATTTTAGGTATGGCATGAAGATCGGGCTAGGGCTTGTATTCAGGGTAGGTCATATTTTCAGGGAAGGATGGTATTATTTCACTGCCTCCTATCAAGGAGTTAAACTTAACAAGGAATACAAACTTTTAAGTCATGAAAAATACCCTCTTAAGTGGTTATTGCAGAAACGAAAAACAGATTTACTACTATGCAAATTTTTTAAGAACAGGAGAGAGTGCATTATATTAATAAGTAAACTGCATACTTTGTTATCAAAATGCACCAACTTTGCCACTAATTACAAAGAAAGAAATAAGATAAAAATTTATAAAATTCTATAAAGAAATTGGGGATTGCAAAGAAAAATATACTTTGAAATTGAACAGTATACCTATTTTTATCCTGGTGCGTAAACTTAAATGTTTTTAAGATTAAATTGTATTTTTGCATCTTCTGGACTTCGCTTCTTAAACATGCACTGAAATGCACTAAAGAATTTACGTAGAAATGAACAGAAACTGACATATCAAAAGAAGATCTAGAACTACCTGAAACACGATAAGTCACAGTATATAAATCAAGCTGTTAAATTATAGAATTTTGCCACATTAGATTCATTTAAAATTCAGAATTACTGCTGCAACTGTAAGAGAGATTTGAACATAACTAACAATCCCAAAAAATAAGGATTCTTACCTTACCTTCCTCCAATTTTTAGACATTACTTGGAATCATTCATATATTCTACTTGAAATTTTAATGACATAATTCTTTGTTTTACAATGTTTTATTGTATTTTTTAAGTTGGATTGCAAAAGATTGAGGTGGCCTATAAACCTCATAAATAATCAAATAAATATGAATCTGTCCTAAGATGAGGCACATCTAATATATATTTTCCAAACTGTCTCATAGCAAGACATCATTTTATTTGATACAATAAGATAAAAAAAAAAAAAATCACAATTATTGTGAGGCTAGCTTTCAAAGAGTCATACCTGTTCACATTGCTGAGACTATCAGCTGGTAGGCTTGTGCCAATGCCATTTTCAACTACGTCGCGCAAATATTTTTCCACTGAAGATTCAGAACGTCGGCCTGGAGAACGTGAGCGCTGCCTTGGATAATATGAAGGTGAATATCTCTGCAATGGGGAAGGGACAGGCAAAAGTTACCATATGCTATCTGTTTGATAAAACAAACAGGCTTCCTATCTTCCACTGTTGCAAAATACCTTAAAACTGGATATATTCTATGTCAAGTGGTCTGGGGGTCCCTGCTCAACCATCATGGATTTCGATGAAATTTTGTGTGAACATGCACACATGTCCCCAATGAACATTGGTAAAGTGTTATGTGTGCCGATGCAATACTTGCAGAGATACAGGCATTTGTGTGACCCCATACCTCAGCCTTCTACAGTATGACTCTGAGGTTCCAGCAACTTTGAGACATAATATCTCTGGCAATATTTTGTTGAGAGACACAAAACTTGGCCATCTTGTACAACTTTTTGTGCTCTATTAAACAAAAGTATGACATGAAGCAAAAGTTGTGCTACAATCCATCTGACAAAACAAAATCACGTAGCTAAACATGGGCTTTTGAAAGTCGATCTAGTCATGTCCAATGATTTAACAAAAGTGGTGAAAACAAATGTGAAGACGGGTCAAAAGATTTGTTCCAGGTGTAAAGCCAAATACGTTTCCATGGTCCAAAGCACAGCAGATTCTTCGTCGTCAGATAATTATGATATAGACATTTCAGACACTGTTAATCAAAGTTTGACCGATTTAGGGACTTCTCCATTAAAAACTCAGAAGCAGTAGTGATAAAACTGGCTATGTGAAACGAAAAATTGAATGCGTGCAGAAAGTGGTAGCAGACAAAATAACGTTAGCCACTGGAGTAGCAACTGCCAGGATTATACTGTCCTAATTCAAGATATGAAAACAAAAATTAAAATATCTGATAGATTGACGAAAGTTTTATTATTGACTTTGGCCCCAAAGTTAGTCGATACCAGTGACAGCAAAAACGTTTGGCGTTTCAGAACGTATGGTTAAAACATCAAGAAAAATAAAGAGAAACGGATTTGTGCACTACCAGATGCAAAAGTTGGCAAACCGCCACCAAAGGAAATCACCGACAGAGTTTGAGATTCTTTTTTTTTTTTTAAGTTTTTTATGTTTTTATTGTTAGAAAATTATAATACAATTACACCTTTCCGGTTTCATGGTGTTAATAAACATATACATATACATAATATTTACTTATTATTTACATGGTATTGCCTGATTATCTTAATTTTAAAAATACTACCCGTAGGAATTCTCACTTATATCATCCTTAATACTTATTATTACATTTTATTTACATAAACTTATATCCTTACTCCATTTTATTTCCTACTGCCTGTAGTACAACTCATTTCAATATACCCATTTAATTAATCATCAGATTGACCTTTAGCTCTCTCACGCTTCACTTCGGTTTTCTTTTCTCTAACCACTCATACCACATATCCCACACGCTATAGTAGTCAGTTTCCTCTCTATCATTAATTTCTAACGTCAGTTTGTTCATTTCGGCACATTCCATTATTTTCCTAATTACATGCTCTTTGGGTGGTAACTTTTTCTCTTTCCAATGTTGAACGAAGGAGATTCTTGCTGCTGTTATTATATGTATAATAAGATACTTCTTCTTTCTTGCAATTTCTGTCTTCAAGATTCCCAGGAGAAATATTTTTGGTTCTAATTCAATAGTGTCTCCTATTATTCCCGACAGCCATTTACATATCATCCTTCAAAATTCTTTGGCTTGTAGACAGGTCCACCAACAGTGATAAAAAGTACCTTGCTGGTGACCACACTTCCAGCATTTTGGACTCAAATTTGGGTAAATTTTGGCAATCCTGGCTGGTGCTAAATGCCACCTATAAATCATCTTATATTGGTTTTCCTTATAAGTTGTTGCCCTGGTCATTTGAGATTGTTGTTCCAAATTTGGTCCCACTCATCCAGATTTATGCTTTGTCCAATATTTTTAGCCCATGCTAGCATTGGGTCTTTATCCACCTCCTCTATCAAGTCGTACTCCACCAAATAATTATATAATTTGGCCAATAATTTATTATCTGTGCCCATCCATATCTTGTTTGCCCATTGCTGCCTATCTCTATACCATATTGCTCTTTATCTTTTTTATATCGTGATTTAATTCGTGCATATGTCCACCATTCTATGTGGGTGCCCTGTTCTTTCAATTGTTCCATTGTTCTGAGATTCCCTGCCCCATCTAATATCTCTTTATATTTTACTGTTTTGCCCAATTCCAGGACATTGGGATATATTATCGTCTCCATCGTAGATAGCCATCTGGGGACTTTAGTATATTGTTTTTGTCTTATTTCTCCCCATGTTGACATTAACGTGTCCCTTATTTTATGTTTATGGAAATATGTTCTTGTTCTTTTTCCTGTTTACCAAAGATAAGCATGCCAACCCTTCTGGAGGTCGTGCCCTTCCGAAGTCAAAATTCTTTTGTTTCCGAGTTGCCCATTCTTTTAACCAAACTAAGATTACCGCTTTGTTATAGATTTCCCAAATTGGAAGTCCAAGAACCCCCGTCTTTTTTGTCTTGTAGGCTCCTAATTGCAATCCTTGGTTTCTTCCCTCCCCAAATGAATTTCCTGATAATAGAATTAAATTCCCGGAAAAATTTCCTATCTAATTTGATTGGAGTGGTTTGAAATAAATACAGCAATTTGGGTAGGACACTCATTTTGATTGCTGCAATCTTCCCTAAAAAGGATATGTGGAGCTTCTCCCACTTCTCTAAATCTTGTTTAATATTTTTGACCAGGGATACATAATTATCCTCTTTAAGGGCTGAACACTGTTGAAATCCATACTCCCAAATATTTAACCTTCTTAACAACTTGTATCCCCATTGATTCCTCCAAAACTTTCTTCCGGTCTTTGGTCATGTTTTTGGTCAACATTTTAGTTTTAGATTTATTTAATTTGAGCCCTGCCACCTCTCCATACTTACCAAGTTCTTCCAAAATTTGGGCGCCAGTTTCCACAGTTCCTCCATAATTAGTACATCATCCGTGAATGCTTGGGTTTTATATGTTTCCTTTCTAATTTTCAGACCCTTAATTTGCTTATTTTCTCTAATCCTTTTTAGCAATACTTCTAGAGCCAAAATAAACAGGAGTGGTGATAATGGACATCCCTGTCTCACTCCCTTGCTGATTTGGAAGGTTTTTGTTAGTTCTCCGTTCACTAGGATATTGGCCCTTTGTTTCTCATAAATCATGGTTATTGTGTTCACAAGATTTTGTCCGAATCCCAGTTTGTTAATTTGTTGCTTTATAAACTCCCAGTTCAGGTTATCAAACGCCTTCTGAGCGTCTTGGAAGACTAGTACCATTTCTTTATCTGGGTGTTCCTCATAGTATTCTAACACATCTAGAACTGTCCCTGTGTTGTTTCTTATCTGTCTCCCTGGAAGGAATCCATTTTGGTCGCTATGTATTACCTTATTCAGAATTACCTTTAGCCTTCCCGCTATAATACTCATATAAATTTTGTAATCAGTATTGAGGAGAGAGATTGGTCTATAGTTCTTTATCAATTTTACATCCGTTCCTTCTTTTTGTAAAAGTGTAATATAAGCCTCCCTCCATGATTCTGGTATTTTGGATTTTATCAAGGCCTCGTTATAGATTTCTAACAGTTTTGGAAGGAGAATATCCTCTAAATCTAGATTTTTATATAATTCCCCTGGGAATCTGTCCGGACCTGGTGATTTGTTCTTTTTAAGTTTAGATATCGCAGTCTTTAGCTCTGCCATTGTGATTTCTTTATTTAGCATCTCTTTCTTCTCCTCCCCAATCAGTGGAAGTTCTTCTTTCAATAGGTATTGTTCTACTTTTTCCTTGGGGATATCTTCTTCCTTGTATAGAGTGGCATAGAATTCACGGACCATCTCTAATTTCTTTTCTTCCTTATTTATGATGTGACCCTCTAAATCTTTTAGTTGGTAAATAATCCCTTTCTCTTTTTCTTTTTTAAGTCTATAGGACAACCATCTGCCCGGCTTATTGGCATTTTCAAAATAATATTGTTTAGTTCGTTTGATTTCATACGCTAATTTTTCCTGGTCAATTATATTCATTCTGTGACGTATAGTCATCCAGTTTTCTTTTGCTATTTCATTGTCTGGGTTTTGCTGCACTTCCTTCTCTGCCTTCCCCAATTCTTCCAGCAATGTCCTCTGGGTCTCTCTCTTTTCTTTATTTCTATGTGCTCCATATGCTATTGCCAGTCCTCTTAGGAACGCCTTCATTGTGTCCCAGATTACTCCTTGGTCAGTTGGTTCCTTTTCATTTTCTTCAAAGAAAACTTTTAACGCCCCCTTTACTTTCTCGATATTTTGTTTATCCCCCAAAAATTGTGTGTTTAGTCTCCATCTTACATTCGTTCTCTTATACCCACTCTTCCATTTGATCTCCAGTGGATTGTAATCCACCCATATATTGGGTGCAATCTCGGCTGACATGATGTCCATTCCTATATTTCTGCTTACCCACATCATGTCAATTCTAGACCATGATTTGTTGGGGTTTGAGTTGAAAGTGCATTGCCTTTTATACGGATGTAAAGTTTGCCAAATATCTGCCAGGTTCAGTTCGTCTACTAGGTCAAAAAAAGATTTTGGTAAGTTTTTCCTTTTTTTCTTTTGGCCTTTGGATCTTTTATTATCTTTATTCGAGTCCACCACTCCATTAAAGTCTTAGATTATGCATATATTATTATTATCCATTTTACTTATTATTTCTCGTACTTTATTATAGAACTCTCTCAGATTTTTATTCGGGGCGTAGATAGCTGTTACTAATATTGAGGAATTACCTCTCTTAATTTCAACCACTAGTATCTGACCCTTTGAGTCTGCATATTTCAGCTCTGCTTTTATTTCCTTCTTAATATACAGTACCACCCCTCTCTTTTTTTTCCCTGCTAGGGAGGTATAGAGATTTCCAAGTTTTTTTATACTCCAAATATTTTTCATTTTCTTTTTTTATATGCACCTCTTGGAGGCATACTATATCCACATTCTGTTTGACTAATT